GCTCCTCTCCCCTCTCTTGCCCCCAGCAGCTCCACCTCTCACAAGCTCAGGCCAGAGCCCTGCCCTCAGCTCCCCTCTCTCATGCCCACCATCCAGGCCGCCAGCTTACACAGCAGCTCTGCCCTCAGGACCCTCCAGAACCCCCTGCTTCTCGCACTTTGGCTTCTGCCACCTGGCCCAGCCTCCATCATCGCTCAATGGACCGGAACATTCACCTCCGCCCTTGACCCCATGGTCTGGCCTCCCCAGAAGGGAGTAAGGGTCCTCCTCCTCCTCTGCTCACAGCCTTGAAGGGTCCCCACCTCACTCAGGGTCAAAATTCAAGTCCTCCCCACGCCCACAAGGCCCTGCAAAATATGACCCATCACCTTCCCACCCACATCAGTTCCAGCCACAGGGCCCCTCACTGTTCCTCCACCACACCAGGTGCACCTCAGGGCCTTTGCACTGGCCATGCCCTCTGCCGAAAACACTTCCCCCAGAGCTGTGCTTGGCTGCTTCCCTCAGTTTGCACAAACCTCACCTTCTCACTTCTCTCCTCCCACCCTGACACTCCCAGGCCCTCTTCCACAGTACTTATCTCCCGACATACTCCACACTTTATTGTATTATATTTAAAACCTCTCTTCTCCAACCAGAATGCAGAAATCTTTGTCTCTTTTGTCCACTGATGCATCCCCAGTGCTGTGATAGTACCTGTCACAGAGAAATCGCCCAAACACCTGTGCAATGACCGAATGCATGAGCTGGGCCCACTAGGAAGGCGGGCACACCAGCAAGAGTGGGGGCTGGCAGGCACCTGCCTCAGTGAGTGTAAAAGACTATCTGTGGGAGTAAGAGTCTAAGGCGTNTGTAAAAGACTATCTGTGGGAGTAAGAGTCTAAGGCGTGCCCAGCCAGGTGTGGCTCAGAGGTTGAGCGTCGACCTAGGATCCAGGAGATCGCGGTTTGATTCCCGGTCAGGGCACATGCAGGAAGCAGCTGATCAATGACTCTCATCATTGATGTTTCTCTCTCTCTTGCCCTCTCCCTTCCTCTCTCTGAAATCAATAAAAATATATTTAAAAAAAAAGTCTGAGGCGTGAGGGAACACAAATGAAATTGCAATTTCTTTAGGTCAGAGGTCAGCAAATTTTTTCTGTAAAGGGCCAGGTAGATAGTAATAGTGTAGCCTCAGAAGGCTGAATGTGGTCTCTGCTATGTATCCTCATGTTTGCTTTTTCTTTTACAACCCTTTAAAAATGCAAAACCAGCTCTGGCCAGTCTGGCTCAGTGGTTAGAGTGTTGGCTAGTGGGCTGAAGGGTCCCAGGTTTGATTCTGGCCACGGGAACGTACCTCGGTTGCAGGCTCCATCCCCAGCTCCCAGTTGGGGTGCATGTGGGAGGCAACCAATTGATGTCTCTCTCTCTCACACATCAATGTTTCTCTCTCTCCCTCTCCCTCTCCCTCTCCCCCCTTTCCACTCTCTCTGAAAAGCAATGGAAAAAATATTCTCAGGTAAGGATTAAAAAAAAAAAATCAAAACCATGCAGGACAAAAGCAAGCCATGGGCTGCAGTTTGCTGACTCTGCTTTAGGTCAGAGACAATCAACCTAATTTCAGGTGGGTTATGAATCTGGCCAGGAGAGCTGGGGTAGGAATAATTACAGTACTCAGAGCCAATACTCAGAAAACTCTCATAAGCAGTGCCAGCTGCTGCGCTAGCACTTTATAAATATCAACTCATTTGATCCTCACAAGGGCCCCTTAAGGTAAATACTGTGATCACCACATGGTACAAATGAGGAAACTGAGGCCCAGTCAAATTAGGAGACCTTCCTGGAGTCACAATAGTTGGTGGCAGAACTGGGACTCAAACAGGGAGGTCAGGCTCTGCCCTGTGGGCATGAGTGTGCACATCAGGGTGTGCTTGGGGGTAGGTGTGAGTGTGTCTATGAACACACAGAATGAGTGTGGGCCCTGGCCAGGTATCAGTTGGTTAGAGAGTCATCCCAATACTCCAAGGTTGTGGGTTCAATCCCCGGTCAGGGCACATACAAGAGTTAGCCAATGAATGCATAAAGAGGTGAAATAAAAAATCTCTCTCTCTCCCTCTCTTCCACTCTATCACTCGAAAATAATTTTTAAAAAATAAAATAAAATAAAAATAGAATGAGTATGCACTCAGGGCGGGGCACACCCATGAGTGGACAGGATGAGCCCCGAGTCCCAACCACCCAGCAGCCCAGGGCTCACTTCTTCATGATGAGGAACTTGTGCAGGGGCCCGCCGCCTGCCATCTCCATGACCAGCATGAGGGCCTCCACCTGGCAGACGCCGATGAGCCGCACAATGTAGGGGTTGTCCAGCTGGTGCATGATCTGCGCCTCCCGCATCATCTCATCCTTGTCTGCCTTCTCTGTGTTGTGTTTCAGCACCTTGATGGCCACGTCAATCTGCTTCCTGCCCATGCCAGAGGCACACACGTGAGTCAGCACGGGCCCTGCTCGGCCACTCGTGGCCCCAACCTGCCTCCTCCACCCTGGACTTGTGTAGTGGATGCTGTGGTTTGCCCCCCAGATCTCCCTGCAGCACCCAGGCACTCAGCCAAGTCCCTCCTCAGAACTGCCCCTCAATGGAAAGAGCAGTTTCATTCAAAGTTACATTCTCCCCTAGGCAGTCTACATCCAATGACGAGTGGATTCAGGGGTTCAGGGGGCCCCTCTGCAGCGCCCCTGGGATTGGCCAAAGCCTGTGATCAGCCACTGCAGCCAGGCCCAGCCTGCCCGCCCCACGGTGCTTCTCTCACTCCCTCTCTCAGGGGCAGTCCCCAAGTGCTATTAGGAAATCCTCTAGCAATGTCCTGACACAGGGTCTGTTTTCCAGGGAAACTGATGTCACATCCTGGCTCCACCCCTCCCCAGTGCATGGGGGCAGCCGTACTTGCGCATGCGGTAGACGCCCTGGCGTACTGAGCCAAAGTTGCCGCAACCAAGTTCGATGTCAGCTATGAGGAGGTTCTCGCGCTTCAGGAAGAGCTTCTTGTCCTTGAGCTCCTCGGGGTCACTGTAGGGGCTCTCATACACGCTTGTGTCCATGGGCATTGGCCGCGGTTTCTCTGGGGACGCTAGGCGTGCTGGGCACACAGAAGCATGCACTCCCAGGTCAAGAGGAGGGAGAGAGGCAGGGGGCTGGGAGGGCAGGGAGCCTCTGTGCCCACAAGGCATGTGCCCCAGACAGGGGTGTACCTCTTAGAGCATGTACAGGCACATGGGTACATGTGTGTGCATATGTACACGTGCACTCCCGTCTATGGGTGCACTGGAAAGCCACGTCCAAGTGGACCCCAAAGGCTTGTGCATCCGTGTGCACGTGCAACCATGTGTGCCCTGTGTGTTTACGCATACACACCCATGTATACTCCCACCCATGTCTATAAGAGTGTTAGTGTGCCAGCTGGAATGTGCACACCTATGCCTGTCCATGCCCAGCCACATCTCCATAGCACCATGCAGCTGTGTTTATAAGGGCTCCACAGGAGAGCCTCTGTGTGCACACACAGCCATGTATGTTCTCTGAGCACACACGTGGGAGGGTTGCATCCACACATCAAGCACACGAGCATTGCAGCAGGGCGTGTTAGGAACATGGCCTCCAAAGCCTATCTGCCCAGGTCCAATCCCACTCCCCCACCACCTGGCTGCGTGACCTTAGAAAGTTACTGCCCTCCTAACTCATCTGTATATTGAGGGTAATTACTGTGACTACATCCTATGGCATGTCAGGAGGACCCAACGAGCTCATGTGCACATCACGTGCTCGGAGTGTAACTGGCACATAGTGGATGCTTAACAAATGTGTTTCTGTGCTCTGGGCATCCCAGGCCAGGCACGTGTTCTCCCCTGCACATCTGCACACGTCCAGGTACATGCACACAGGAAGGTGTAATGGGTGCACCCCCTGCAGGTGTCTGCAGGCACAGTGTGTACACAGGACCAACCAATCCAACTGCCACAGGCCAGGCCAGGCCCACCGTCTCCCTGGACACACCCTGAGCCAGCCAGAGACCCTGCCATCAACCTGGCATCAAACCGACCACACACCTCCACCTCTGCCAGCTCACCTGGTTCAGGAGTATATCCATCTGAGTTGAGGGTGTCGATCCGTCTCTGAGGCTAAATGTCATAGGGTCACAATGGTCAGTAGGGCCCAAGCTGAGGGCACCAGCCCCTCTCATGTGACCCATATCCTCTGAGGACTCCCAGGGACAGTGACAGGCGACCCTCTCCCATTCCACAGCAGCCCCACTCCACCCCAGCCTCGCCCTGGGAACGGGACCCATAGCCCATCCCTGAGACCCCAACTCTGAGATGCTGGCTGACTCACGTGAGTGAACGTGGATGGGTGGGCTGGGAGTGTGGGAGCAGCGGCCCCTGAGGGAACAGAAAGGACGGTGAGGGGTGAGGGACAGTATCTCCTGCTCCCCCATCCCGGGGCCCTGCGCACCTGCACTGGCGCTGGCACTGGTGTTGGGACAGGCCTCCTTCAGACAGTAGATGAGCCCGTCTGCCTTCAGCTTCAGGTACTCCACCAGCTGCAGGGGTGGGGGGTGGTCAGGGTCAGCTCCTCTCCTCCCCAGGAGCCTGAGCACCTCGCAAAGGGGTCTCCCTCACAACAGAGGGGCGGGAGGGGGCGGGCGGCTCACCTGCCAGAGCGTGTCAAACTTGGTCCCCTCGGGTATGCAGTACTTGCCCGCCTTGTCCTGACTGATGAGGTAGTGGTACACGGTTTTCCCATAGATCAGAGACAGCGCGTACGTGCCCTGCTCTTTCCGGGGCCTCAGCCTGGTGGGGACAAGGAGGGAAGGTCACCCCTATAATTACCTGGGCCCCTGTCGTGGTGTCCCCCTGCTGGGCCCCAGTTCCCACACCCACACCTTATGGGCTCGGTCCCCCGGAGCTTCGTGGAAAAGCTGCAGGGACTCGGGGAGTCAAGGCTGGTCAGGTCCCATTTAACTTCCAGACCTACTAGTAACCTCCAGGCCAGTGGGACCCAGGGGTCAGAGAGCAGAGAGGGGAATCACAGTGTCACAGGAGACTCAGTGATCTAAGGGCAGACCATTCACAAAGCAAAACTGGGCCTTACACAGCACACTCAGCCTTGACACTCAGCCACCCACAGCTGGACACTGGGCCATCCACAGAGGGATACCTGGTCCTCTGTGGTGGAATACTGGGCCACACATGGCTGGACACTTGGTTTTCCACAGGGGACACTCAGCCTTCCTAGGGGACACTCAGTCTTCCCAGGGGACACTCGGCCTTCCTCAGGGAACACTCAACCTTCTGCAGGGGACACTCAGCCTTCCCAGGGGACACTCAACCTTCTGCAGGGGACACTCAGCCTTCCTCAGGGAACACTCAACCTTCTGCAGGGGACACTCAGCCTTCCCAGGGGACACTCAACCTTCTGCAGGGGACACTCAGCCTTCCTCAGGGAACACTCAACCTTCTGCAGGGGACACTCAGCCTTCCCAGGGGACACTCAACCTTCTGCAGGGGACAGTCAGCCTTCCCAGGGGACACTCAACCTTCTGCAGGGGACAGTCAACCTTCTGCAGGGGACAGTCAGCCTTCCCAGGGGACACTCAACCATCCTCAAGGGACACTCAGCCTTCCCAGGGGACACTGAGCCTTCCACAGGGACACTTGGCCACCAGTAGAGGGCTACTGACCATCTATGGTGGACACAAAGTCACTCAGAGAGGACAGACAGGTCTACACAGGTGGCCCTAGGACCATTCTCTTGGGGAAAGTCATTTCTACACGAAGAGCAACAGAGGTAAGCACAATCCTGTGGCTAGATCATTTTGTACAAACCAGGACATAGACCCGCCCATTGTTGTAACAGACCGACCTTTGACAGAATGAGACCCTTGACTGTCCTCTGGTGGAAATTTGCCAAAATAATCCATGACTCTGAATGGGAATTGAGCCCCTCAAAGATGGGCCTTTGTGCAGTAAGACCCTGTCTACCCACACACGCGTGCACACACAGACCCCCTGACCGCTCTAGAGGGTATGTCTGGGAGGGGTTCCAAAGGGGACCAAATCCAGAAGAGGTTAAGAACCACTTAACAATATACTCTTGAAGGCCTTTCTCATGGGTCGTTTGTTTTCACACTGAATCAACCAGACCACAAATGCTGCAATTATGCAGAAAGGCAGCAGCTGGCAGCAAACAGCGTAAGGAACAACTTACCAGCTCTGAACTGTGGCCAGTGCTACTCGTGGCCCTGGTCTCAACTGCAGGCCTGAGTGGTACTCATTTTTCTATCACATCCTGCATCCTAATCCCAGAACCAGGCCAGTTCTGGGCATGTCCCAGGCCTCAGGACCTCCCCTGCCCTGTGTGGGGTTCTGTGCCCACAGTTTGACCTTCAGCCCCTAACTCTCTACATACTGAGAAGCAGTTATTGACTATAGACCCACAAGGAGAATCTACGGCCGTTTTTGCTGAAGTCCACCCTGCCTAACTTTCCAGCAGTCTGGCTCACTGTAGCTGCTTCTGGTCCCTTGGCATTTTCCCAGCACAAGTTACTATCCCTCATAATGTCACTGCTCCAACTGCTTCTGAACCTCAGCACCAGCCTCAGTCCTATCCTATTCCTAGATCCTACCCCTTCAGCCTCAACCTCCATGGCCAGTGTTGGTCCTACCTCCCTGAGCCTTCAAGCCAGCTTGACGTCCAAAGCACTGGCTGTTCAAAGCCACTGGCCCTGGTTCTCCTGAGACTCCTCTTATCTCAAAAGACTGGTTAACTCTAAGCCTGTCATAAGCTCCGCTGTGTTAATGCAAAAAACTGCAAACTTTTCCTTTGGGCAATGGAATTCTTTGTCAAATATCTTTCATGGAAGCTTAAGATATGAAACAAGTCAAAGCTGAGCCGGGCCCTGGCTGGTGTGGCTCAGTTGGTTGGGCATCGCCCCATATACCAAAAGAGTTGCTGGTTCAATTCCGGGTCAGGGCACATGCCCAGGTTTCAGGCTCGATCCCCAGTAGGGGGCATGCAGGAGGCAGCTGATGGATGCTTCACTCTCACTTGGTGTTTCTCTCTCTCTCTCCCCCCCTCTCTAAAAAAACAAACAAAAAACAATTTAAAAATCTTAAAAAAAAAAAAGCTGAGCCGGGGTGAGGGCTCAGAAGCCCTACTCAATTACTTCACCCGCTACCTCCCCCAAGAATCCTTTGATACTTTCAGGGGGTCTTAGGCAACCGGGCAGGGGGGGACTTTTAAGACCACTGGAATGATGCAATCATTGTCTGTATGTGGGAAAGAGGAAGGGAGGAAAGGGGAAGAGAGAAGAGAGAAAAACCAAGACAGAAGGGAGGCAAAACCTGAGGTGATGAGAAGCTGAATTGAGATGAAACCAGGGAAGGAAACCCTGGACTGTAAAAACAAAGAGGAAAATCCATGTGATAAAGGAGAAAGCAGAGATGAAGAGGAAGAGCCAGCTACACCAGCAGGAGAGTCCTACAATATCCCTTTGTTGTGTGCAGCGTGGAGAGAGTCCCAGAACCTCTGGCACCTGGGTGAGCGTGTGCACGAGCAAGTGAGATCGAATTTATGTGAGGCCTGTGACCAGATGTAGGTAATGCCTTAGAAAGCATTATGCCCGAGATGGGGCGTGTGCAGCATCTGGATGAAGACAGGTACCAGCTGGACAAGCACCAGCCCTCACCATGTACTAGAAGATGGAGCCCTCTAGAAGCACCAGAGGCAAGCTCTGCCCTCAGGTTTACAACCCAAAAGGAAAGGAGCCCAAGCACCCATGTTTGAGAGGCCCATCACCTCCATTATGACCTCCTTGTTCCAATCCTATGGTAAACTTTGCAAAACTGGCTGCCTTAATTCCTCTCCTGTGGGTAGTCCCTTTTCCCACAGTGTCCCTGGTTTTGGCCACATGACTTGCTTTGGCCAATAGGACATTAGTAACATTACACAAGCAGAGGCTTAAAAAGTGCCAGTGTATTGTCACTTTCCCTCTGTGACTACTCATGGGAACCCTGTGACCACCACCACTGAATAAGCCCAGGCTAGCCTACTGGACAGTGACAGCACTGTGGCCAGTACATCCCCATCACCCAGGGGACATGGGGCCAATAGCCAGACACATGAGCATGGCCATCCCAACCTATTCAGTCCCAGCCCAGCTGACCCCAATGAGAACGGCTCAGCTGACTCACAGAGTTGTGACAAGTACAAAAATGTTGTTTTGAGCCAGTAGGTCTTGAGGTGGTTTGTTATGTAGCAAAAGCTAACTGATACAAACGCAAGGCTCAGTTTACCCTCTCAGAGAAAACAGCCCTATCTTAAGTTGTTCAAAAGCCTTTATTACAGCTGAGCATTATCTGTAACATGCATTCAAGAGTTCCCTCAGGAGCCTTAGAAACTGCTCCAATTTTATCCTACGTCTGTCAGGCAGGGTAAAAAATTAATTTTATTAGCAGACAACAGAATCTTGTATTGGAACCTGCATCCTGTGGGAGGCCTGCAGGCAATCTGGTGTCTACGCATGGACCGCACATGGGTGGGGAAGTTGAGGGAGTCCGTGGGTTGGCCCCAGGACAGGAAACAGCCTAGGAGAGGTGGGTGACAGTGAGGATTCAGCCCTGTAGGAACTTGGCCATGAGAAGGGAGGCCCTCAAGAACTCACAGACATTTTGGGGAGGGCATTGGGCTTCCTGAGGGCACAGGAAAGAGGAAGGAACCAAGTTTCTCTATATCTCCAGCCAGGGTGACCTTAGCTGACATCTGGATAACATCTGTTATACAAAGGGACCCGTGTCCCGACCAGAAAGCAGTAGTGCTGGCAGGGCTTTCAAACACCCAGCAGGTTATTTAAATCACTTTAGGGGTTCTTACACAATAACAGACTCACAAATATGGCTCAGCTGTAACTCAGACACGGCAGAGACACACATCCACCCACATGTAGTAAGAGCTAACATCTGGTGCAGTTTTAGTATGTGCCAGATACTATGCTATTACTTTACACACATTAATTTCATGCAATCTTTATAACAGGCCCTTGGGGAGGTACTACTCTCACCCACAGGGCAGTCAGAGGAAGTCGCCTCCTTCCCTCACTCCTGCTTCAGCCCTCACTTATTCCAAGGACACTAGCCTCCTTGCTTTTTTGTGAACACGCCAAGAGCCTGCCTCCTGGTCTTTGTATTTGCCATTCCCATTTGCCAGGAACACCCTTCTCCCAGGACCTGCACAGCTCACCCCTCACCTCCTTCAGTTCTTCACTCAAAAGCCACATGCTAGGAAAGGCCATTTCTGGCCACCTAGTCTCAGTCCCCTCCCCACCTGTGCAGAGAGCACTGACCACCTCCTGACACACTCTGTATGTTACTGAATCATCTTTTTTGTCTCCCTCCTCCACAAGGACAGAGGCCTGTGTCTGTTTTGTTCACTGTCATGTCCACTGAAACAGTGCCTGGCACATAGTAGGTATTCATTCAGTAAATGTCTGTTGAATGAAGGAGAGGAAATTCACCTCCTTGCTACGAGTCCCAGCAGGTAAGCAGCAGATTCCCCTGGATTGCAACCCAGGCAGTCCTGCTACGGGGCCCTCGGCACTGCTGCTCCTTCCCACAGAGCGGCCCTGTGCTCGCTCAGAAACGCACACGGAGCGCACGACCCGACACTGAGACCTGCCCCGGCCTCACCGCCCCAAAGCCCCCGGCCCCAATCCCCACATACAGGAACTTGCCGTCGGTCTGCGAGCCCGCGTAGAGTTTGCGCTCGGCCTCCTCGCGCGTCAGGTTGCTGTGGTACCAGGGCATCCGCTCGTGGGCCGTGGTGGCTATGAGTTTCTCCACTTGGGGCGCCTGGCTGATGATAGCCTGCTCCAGGGCGTCGCCCTAGGGAAGGAAGGGCCAAGGCCACGCTTATAAGCGACCTCGAGTGTGCGGCCACAGGAACCCTATTCCATCTCTTCGACCCTCCCCACGGCCTCCGTCCCCATGAGACCCCTCCCTAACCTACCAGGGCGCACTTGGGGGTGAGTCCTTCAGGCTGCTGAGCACAGCCACCCTCCCCATCCCAGGCTCTCTCCCCAATCCACCCA